CCTAGAACATTGGAGAAATTTCCCTTTACACTTTCCCTTTCAATTTGGATTATGTTACTTTCAAATCAAGCAACCATGGATAACTCCCAAATTATGACCTAAACTCAAAATTCCACTTTAGCCAATGTTTTTAGAATGCCTTTTCCATTCAAAATGACCTATAATTTTGCATCATTTGGCCAAGATATGAAAAATACCATTTTTTAAGCCATTTTCCTTCATTAAATTCACCAATTTTGAAATCTTGTGCTATGGACATTTCCAATCTCTCATGGTCACTTTTCTAGACTCAAAATGTCATTTGGAGCAAGTTTGATGTTGTAAGTTTTTCCATTTGAAGCTTCCTTGTATGAGTTTTGGGCATAGGTTAAAATGACCTGTAATTCACAAATGACCAAAATACCCTTTGCTTGCCATGACCATAAGTTGAGCTCCACACATCATATAAGGGCATACTATACCATTCTAGAAAGCTAAGACAATGAGGAACAATTCTTATGTTTACCAGAAATTCATTTGAAATCTCCTTGAGGGTTAAAAATAGCTTGGAAGTCAAGTCACTTTCACAGACAAAATTTCAGATACCTCAGATGACCTGTAACTTGCAAGGACCATAACTTGAGTTCTATAAATCTCCTTGATGTCTTCCACCACTCAAATTAAAGTTCTTGAGATCCTCTACAAGTTACATGTTGGCCAAGGATCCATTTGAACCTTGCATTTTGACTTATCTTGCTTGGAAATTTGACCTAAACTAGGGGATTTTACACAGAAACCCTAATTTAGAAACTCCTCTTCTCCTTGATTTCTCTTGAATTCTTCTTGGCATATCTCCATATCCTTCTTTATATGTCAAATGATGAACCCCACATCTCTCCAATAGACTTGAATGCCCTTTAAATCAGTCAATTGACCTAGGGTTGACCTAGGGTTGACCCAGATGAAACCCTAGTTGACTGCCTTCAGCTGTAGTTCTTGTGCTCTCATCAATGACTTGTCTCCTTCTTTAAATGACTTTCTAAGTCTCTCATAATGTCTAGATACTCTCCATGCCTTCAACTCACAGCTCACAACCCTCTTGTTGACCCTCAGATACCCTCAGCTAGGAGATGGACTCAAGGCTTGATCTGCTGAACTCTCTGCTTTCAAATTCTTTCTTGATGACTTGAATGAGATGGAATTAAGATAATAACCTCTTGATAGGCCTCTAGAGATGAGAATAATGGTTGGTCCCCTGTTGAATGACTTGCTATGCTTATGCTATGCAGATGATTAGACCATGTACATGACTCTATATGCAAATGCTAATGATAATGAAACATAAACCAAGTGAATAAGGTTGGGCAAATTTTAGGGTACAACACTATGTCGTTAAGGATTCCCGATGCAGTTCACGATTGGCTTTGATGGTGCTCGTCCTCCAGCGATGATGGATCCTGAGCCGGCGATCGTAGGTCTTCGGTAAACTTCTTCAAATCTTCTTTCTTTGTGGATGATGATGAAAACCGGAAGGGTTTTCTGAATCTGACCTCTTTTGGGAGATGATGACGACGAAGATCCTTCTTGGATCTTTTGGATCTGAGCCGCGGCCGCTTTATCGGTGATCACCAGCCTTTTTTTTCAACTGATCCTTAATGATGATTTTATATCATAGACTTATGGGCTGGATTTTCCTTTGGGATTACTATGTTTCCTGCGATTTTGTTGGCTGGTTTCTCGCCTGAACTTATTGAATTCGTTGATGGCTTGTTGAGTACTTGAATGGGTTTGTTGTTTGAGCTTTACTCGCGATTTGTTTGCAGTTTTCTGAAGCGTGATGGGCCTGTTGCCGAAAAACTTGGTTGAACTTTGTGGGTTAATGCTGCTGAGTTCTGTTGTCTTTCTTCCGAAAATGTTGCATTTTCGCTTGGCCTCTTTTCCAGGGTAAATGCTTGATCCGTTGAATTGTGTTTTTTCTGGAAAATTGTCGTTAAAGCCTGTTTGGCAAACCAATTTTCTGGAGAAATCACTTTTCAAATAAGCTGCTTTTTCCAAAATCACTTCTTTACCTCTCTCTCTCGGGTTGCCTTCGATAAGAACATGCCGCTGCCGGGTAGGCCATTGGCCGAGAATCGAACACCCGATGATGATACCACTCTGAGGGTGTCGAAACTAACCGATTAAATTTTATTTTTTTTGTCCGTTTTTCAGGTTCGGAAAAGTCGGATAATTGGAAATAGTCGGAAGATAAATCGGAAGAGCTTAGGAAATTTTTTTTAGAATTTTATTACTTCATGTGACATGTAAATAAATATATTTTGTAATTTTATTTATTTATTATTTTTGCAAAGAGTTAAGATTATTAATAAAATTCTTGATTTATGTAAAGAATTACTATTAATAAAAAATCCTTAATTCACTCATTCACCTTTTATTTTTGATATGCAAATAAAAATGAAGACTATTGTAAAACATATGCTCTTGTTAAAAATAAAAGTGAGAATAATGGAATAAAATGAATTTAGAATGACGATGAGAATAATGGAATAAAAAACTATCTACAAATGTATTGAAATAAAACTTAAAATGAATCAAAGTTATTTTTCAAGATGAAATGGAGTTATTATTATTGTTTTTTTTTTTTAGGGAAATTATGAAATGATGAACATAAAATGCAATAGAAATGTTTAATACTAAAAGTAAAAACGCAATACAATTAATTTAAATGAAATGAAATTACATATTTTTATGAATTCCTAATTCCTCCGATTTATCAGACTAATCTCGTTTCCGCCACCACATCCGATCAATTCTTATCAACTAGATCAAACAGCCCAACTTTTCTGATCACAACTCAAAATTCGTAGTTTGACGGCCGACTGCGAACAAATGACCATTCTGCCCTTTAGAAACTAAAAAACGCGTCACACGATATTTTCCTGCAAAAATTAACCAACTACACAAACCTGTTAGTGACTGGTTAAATGCAATGTAAAATGCAATGGAATGCGAGATGAAACGACAAATCTTAGGGAAAATTTTGGGGTATTACAATTTCCAATTTGACTTTGAATATGAGATATACCATTTGGGTTTCACTTCTGACCTTGATGGTTATGGACTTGTTTTTGATGTCTTGGTGATGTTTGTGTCACTTTGAGAATGCTATGAACATTTGAGCCTCTCTTGTTTTGTTTGGTTGCTTTATTTTACTTGATCATCTGTAAGTGTTTGGTTGAGTTGATTATGATGTGGTTGCTGCCCCACTCTCTTTCCTCCCTCACTTCCTTAATTGTGCTTCTTTGTATAGCACATTTCTTCTTTTGATGATTAATGGCATTTGATTGTAAGAGCTTGCTTCTCTCATTTCCTCTCATCTTTCTTGACTTATTTAAGTCTCCTCTCTTTGTGACTTGTGTTGGTCTTGTTGCGTTGTTCCATGTTTGTATTTGTGTTTGCATTTCATATCTCTTTCCATCCTGCATAGACTTGTTTAAGTCTTTCATTTCATCTTTCATCTGTGATTGATTATGCATTGTGTTTACTTGTGTTTGTTCACATTATCCCTTAGGATTCCTAGTCCCTCTGTTTAAGATGGAAGTAGGAGAGACATTAGGATTTCAATCCTTTGCATGATAACATTAGGTAGTTCCCTTTCATCCCAACTTTAGGATCACTTTGCATGATAACATTAGGGTTTATAGTTTCCTTTAGAGTCTTGTGTTTTCTTTTCTCCTCTCAGAATCTCTTAAGACACTTAATAAAGAAAGACGAGTGTTGTACGCTACGAGCCTTAAGTACATAAGGAATGATGAGTGGGTAGTCTCTTCTCACATTGTCTAGAGTGTTTAGCATATGCCCTTTGGGCGATATGCGACGCATTCGCTCTTATGTCATAGTCTTTAGTGCAACATGAGTTTCCAACTAACTCAATTCACTTCTTCTAAAAACACAAACAAAATTCAAACCTTTTCATCCTTCGGGATTGCTTCAAACCTAATTTTCAAAAAGAGTATATTACATTTCCGTTCTATCGCAAACAGGCATCGTCCCTGACTGCTGGAATTGAAACGTAACATTACTCATAAAAAACACTTGAACCAACTTGTGGTTTCGTAGTTTCCCGAACTATGTTTGCTCTGATTTCTCATACCAAATGAGGATACGTAGGCACAAGACAACGATGTCTTAGCAAGCAACCTTCCCCCCATCACCCGTAGTTTTCCGAACTACGTTGACTCTGACTTTCCCATTGCATAAGGGAATACATGGGCATAGGGCGGCGATATCCTATCGAGTCTGTTCTTTCTCTTCACCCCCGTTTAGCAGTAGCTTTAGATAGTTTTCACCCATAGATTAGACAACAAGCATGGATCCCGTTGAGTACAACGGACGTGAGGGGCGCTCATACCTTCCCCTTGCGTAACCGACTTCTAAACTCAAGATTTGGTTGCGATGACCTTGTCTTTCCCTTTCTCTTAGGTTTTCTTCGATCGTTTCCTTTCCCTCTCTCTAGGATAAATAACATTCGGTGGCGACTCTTCTGTCTGTTTGCCGGTCCCTTTTTTGCAGCATGCGACAACTACTGCAGGTTTAACCTGACTTATCACATTCTTTGTTATGTGATACTTATAAAGTAATGCATAAGAAGAAGGAAATACCTTTGCAACCGCATCCATCAATGTGGTATCATAGTCGGTAACAATAGTTTTAGGCATCTCACCTTAATCCTTCAAAAGTGACCGACACACATCTAATGCCCAACTAAAACCGTCTTCTTTTTCACACTCTAAAAATACAAAACCAACGGAATATCTCTTCTCAGTTGAGGTAACACCAACCATCTCAAATAAAGGAATTTTATACTTGTTAGTCTTGTGGGTAGAATCAAGTATGAGCACTGTCGGAAACATGTTGAACAACTTTATCGAATCCGAATGAGTCCAAAAAATATCTCTAACCGTAACTTCATCGTCGCAAGTTCGGTACCAGGACACATAACTATTATTGTCCAACAGTTTCTACAATTGTTGCATCTCAGTCATATCCCCTCTAATCGTCTTGTTGGTGAGGTACCGAATGTTATACACTTGCTTGATATTTGATATATTGTCGGTTTGCTTCCTTTTCAATGTTGCAAGTATATTTTTCGGTTGGACAAGATTCAAGGTCATGTCACTAATATATTCCTTCTCTTCCAGCTTGAGCCAACATACATTAGGATAACCAGCTAATTTTAAGCATAATTCATAGTTATGCAAACTACAAATGACATTAAATCTCCATTTTTTGTTAGCCAACATGCAACCACGAAGTAAAAACAGACACTCACATTTTCTACTACCGTCTTTCTTTAATTTTCGAACAAGAGTTTGATAGCTCCCGCTTCTTTCACATAATAGTCCCAAAAGCGCTTCTTCTATCCAAGTCATTATTCGACATTCTGATAACTACACCAAATCCAAGTTGAGATGACTCCATATGAATCCATTCAAGCATGTTATCACGATTTTCAAACTCTTTCTTGTTATTAAAGTTATTTATTGTATTCACAACAACCTCTTCAACATCGTTCAGAGAAACTACTTATTTTGAGAAATTATCAGGGTGCACTATATGTATTAGAAACAATACAAACAATAACAAAACATTAACTAATCTACTACTGCGGAAGAGGATGGAATTTGAACGCAGAAACATTCTGGAGATATATCTTCAAAAAAGTTCATGTTCAGCACGTTTCGAAAATACATTTCTGAACACTGCGTAAGTTTTTTCAACAAAGCTTCATGATTAAATGAGTGCAATGTAGATGGGAATGAACAACCTTTACCTGAAATTTGATCGGAGTGAAAAATATAAGGTTTTAAGGTGAGGGTCTAAGTTAACAATTAAAATAAAGAATGACAACAATAAGGGGACTGATCAAACAGCTTAAAACTATATCAAATATTTTCGAAGATACATCTCCGAAATAATCTAACATGCAAAAGTGATGGAAAAATTCAAATTGTCCCCATATATTCCAGAGATATATCTCCGAAATATTCACTGAACTAGTTAATTTTCATGTTTTCTCCAAATCGTTCTGAAAATATATCTCAAACATAAAGTTTACCATATGCAATAGGTGCCACTCAAAATACTCTACCTTAATTTTCATGTTTTCTCCAAATCGTTCTGAAAATATATCTCGAAAATAAAAGTTTACCATATGCAAGAGGTGTCACTCAGAATAGTCTACCTTAAACTTGTTGGTGCAAAGGTGAATAAATGATGAACAAAGGAAATATTCTATTAAGAATGACGGCTAAAAAAAACATGATAATAGTTGCAATGATTGTCACCCTATTTATAAGCTAAAACTAGGGTTACTAGAATAAGATAAAATACTAAAATACCCTCTAACAAACTTAGGGGTTAAGGAAAAATAGTACAACTAAATAAATATGAATTACTATTAATATTCTAATACCATCCCTTAATTCATATTCCATCAAAACTTGTAACACCAATTCCATCCCTTAGTCTGAGAAATTGATCAGTCTTGACAGCTTTCGTCAGAACATCTGCCAACTGCTTCTGAGTGCTGCAGTGTACAACTTCTAACACTCCACTCTGAACTTGATGTCTTAGAAAATGATACTTGGTCTCAATATGCTTGCTTCTCCCATGCAACACTGGGTTTCTTGCAAGATTGATTGCAGACTTGTTGTCAATCATCAACTTCAGAGGTTTGTCTACTTTAATCTTCAGATCCTGCAACAGATTCAAAATCCACACAGCTTGGCATGCAGTAACAGCACCTGCAATGTATTTAGCTTCACAGGTTGACAACGCCACAACAGGTTGCTTCTTGGAACACCAAGAAATGGAACCTCCCAGAAATTTGAACAAGTACCTAGATGTACTTCTTCTGTCAACTCTGTCTCCACACCAATCAGAGTCTGAATAACTCAGAAGTTCTGACTCATTATTTCCTCCAGAGGGAAATAATACTCCATACTTCAGAGTTCCTTTGATATACCTCAGAATCCTGACAGCAGCTTGGTAATGGGACCACTTAGGTTTACTCATGAACCTACTAACCATCCCAACTGAGTAGCAAATATCAGGTCTGGTATTGCACAGATACCTCAGAGAACCAACCAACTGTTTGAAGTTTGTAGCATCCACATCCTTTCCTTCAGAGTCTGAATCCAGTTTCTGATTTGTATCAGAAGGTGTGACAGCCATCTTACAATTCTTCAGATCAAATCTCTTCAGAAGTTCTAATTCATACTTGAGCTAATGCAAAATGATACCTTTCTCAGAATATCTGAACTCCATCCCTAGAAAGTATGTCATTTTGCCTAGATCAGTCATTTCAAATTCATTCATTAGAGCCTTCTTGAACTTGGCTACCTCCTGTTCAGAACTTCCAGTCAGCAGTATATCATCAACATATAAACATACCAGAGTCATATTGCCTTCAGAAGTATGCTGAACATAGACACCGTACTCCATCTCACATTTTTGAAAGCCTTGCTTCTTGAAAAATGAATCAATCTTCTGATTCCAAGCTCTGGGCGCTTGTTTCAATCCATATAGAGCTTTGTATAATCTGTACACCATCCCTTCCTGATTCTTTTTCACAAATCCAGGAGGTTGTGACACGTAAACTTCTTCTTCTAATGGACCGTTCAGAAATGCAGATTTTACATCTAAATGCATCAGAGGCCAATTCATGTTAGCAGCTATTGCAATCACCATTCTGATTGTTTCATGTCTTGCTACAGGTGCAAACACTTCAGAGTAATCCAGCCCATGTTTTTGTAGAAATCCTCTGGCTACCAACCTTGCTTTATGTTTGCCAATTGAGCCATCTGGCTTTAACTTCTGCTTGAAAACTCATCTGACGTTGATGGCTTTCTTATCTTTTGGAAGTTCTGTCAGCTTCCAAGTCTTGTTTCTCTCTATAGCATCAAGTTCTTCTTTCATGGCCTTCAGCCAGAGCTTCTGCTTAAGAGCCTCCTTTGTACTTATAGGTTCAGAGTCTACTAACATGGAACACTGAATAACTTCTCCTTCAGAGTCTACTTCAGTGTCTTGCAGCATGTCAAATTCTGCAAATCTTCTGGGAACGCTTCTGATTCTTTGTGGTCTCTGAACTTGTTCAGAGTCTTGAGCTTCAGAGTTTCCAGCTTCAGATGGTTGACTTCCTCTAGAGCTTTGACCATCTTCAAGATCTGGCACATTTTCAGAGTCTTGGCCATCTTCAGAGTCTGAATTTCCACCAGAATCTGGATTACCATCAGAGTCTGGATCATCAGAGTCACCTTCATCTTCTGAGTCTTCTCCAGAGTCAGAATCACTATCAGAGTCAGAATCAACGTCAGAGTTTACTTCAACTTCAGAAATTCTTAACTCTGACCTTTCTTCAGAAGTTCTAACATCAGAATCAGATTGAGACTTATCCCAATTCCAAACTTCTGATTCCTTCACAATCACATCTCTGCTGAATTCAATTTTATTGGTTTCTGGACAATAGAGCTTGTATGCACCTGTACTGTGGTACCCTATCAGAATCATCACTTTGCTTCTATCATCCAGCTTCTGTCTTCTGGCTTCTGGAACATGTTTATAGCAAACAGAACCAAACACCTTCAGATGACTAACACTTTGCTTGTCTCCAGTCCACTTCTGCATAGGAACTATTTCCTTCAACTTCTTCGTAGGACATCTGTTGAGTACATACGTTGCAGTGGCAACAGCTTCTCCCCAGAGCTTCTGAGGAAGCTTCTTCTCCTTTAGCATGCTTCTCACCATATCAAGCAAAGTGCGGTTTCTTCTTTCAGCAAGACCATTGTGTTAAGGGGTATAAGGAGCAGTAACCTCATGCTCAATTCCATTCTCCTCACAGAACTTCTGGAACTCTTTGGAGTTATACTCACCTCCACCGTCAGTTCTAAGAATCTTCAACTTCTGACCACTCTGATTCTCAGCCTTCATTCTGAATTTCTTGAATTCATCAAACACCTCGTGTTTGAACTTAATAAGGGATACCCATGTCATTCTTGTGAATTCATCAACAAATAACACAAAGTATTTATTCCCTCCAATTGATGCTACTGGAAATGGACCGCACACATCAGAATGTACAACTCCCAAGGCATGTTTTGCTCTTGGAGCAACTTCTGACGCAAATGGCAAACGTGGTTGTTTTCCTTCCATGCAAACTTTGCATGACTTTTCAGGCTTCTTAATTGTAGGAATTCCATGTACCAGCTTCTTTGAATTCAGATGTTTTAGGCTTCTGAAATTCAAATGACCAAATCTTCTGTGCCACAACTCACTCTCCTTCTCAGCACATGTTGCACTAAGACATTCTGAGTCTGTAGTTCTGACATTCACCTTGAATGTTCTATTCCTTCCCTGTTCTGACTCCATAATCAACTTCTGATTGTAGTCATACAGCTTCAGAAGATTGTCATTCATGGTAACTGAAAAACCTTTCTCAATTAATTGTCCCACACTCATCAGAGTAACTGAAAAATCAATGTTGTTTCCCATTGTTCAGAGTCACACTGACATTTCTCATACCTTCTGCATTAAGATATTTGTCATCAGCACACCTGATCTTTGTCCTCTTTTCAGAGTCAAAGTCAACCAGCCATTTCTTGTTTCCAGTAAGATGATTTGAACAGCCAGTGTCCATATACCACCAGTCTGTCAGATCCATATCATCAGATTCAGAGGCCATCAATAGCACAGATTCGTCATCAGAACTTCTGGCTATATTTGCTTCTTCTGATTTCTTCTCCTTGTTTGACCAACAATCTCTAGCAAAGTGACCAAACTTCTTACAACAGTAACATTGGATCTTCTTCTTGTCATACTTCTCTTTTCCCTTCTGAGCATTCTTTTGCCTATCAGAGATTGAGCTTTCTGACTTCTTACCACCATCAGATCTTCTCTTGGCTTCTGACTGCTTCTGATACCTCCTATCAGAAGTTGCTTTCAGAGTCTGCTGCTCTACTTCCCTTTCAGAAGTTCTCTCAGTCAAACGCAACTCTTGCGCTTCTAAACTGCTCTGCAGCTCTTCAATTCTCATGGTACTCAGATCTTTGGAATGTTCTATTGCTACCACAATGTAATCAAATTGAGAGGTAAGGGATCTCAATACCTTCTCCATGATCGTTTCTTCAGAAAGAGTTTCTCCACACGCCTTCATCTCATTAGTGATCAGAATCACTCTGGAGATGTATTCAGAAACTTTCTCATTATTCTTCATGTTGAGATTCTCATATTGCTTTCTCAAGGACTGAAGCTTCACCTTCTTCACTGATGCGTCACCACCATAACATCTAACCAGTGTGTCCCACGCAGCCTTTGCTGTCGTTGAATCTGCGATCTTCTCAAACACATTTACATCAACACATTGATGAATAAAAAATAATGCTTTCTGATCCTTCTTCCTTACTTCCTTTTGTGCGTTTTTCTGTTCATCTGTTGCATCTGCTGCTACCGGAACATAACCATCAGTGACAAGATCTAAAACATCTTGAGCACCAAACAGTACACGCATTTGGATCATCCAACGATTCCAGTTTTTACCGTCAAATACTGGAAGCTTGGTGTTCATGTTGCCGTTTCCGTTCATCTTCACCTTGCACAATACACTCAGATTTCTCACACAGTGTTTCCCAACCCACAGAATAAAATTCTGATCAGATTTTGTTCAAGATTCAACACGAATCTAAGAATCAAAATCAAACACACAAGACCTCACGTTCACTCGTGTTTCCCGTGTTTCCCAATGAATCCGAACCGGAGCTCTAGATACCAATTGTTGGTGCAAAGGTGAATAAATGATGAACAAAGGAAATATTCTATTAAGAATGACGGTTAAAAAAAACATGATAATAGTTACAATGATTGTCACCCTATTTATAAGCTAAAACTAGGGTTACTAGAATAAGATAAAATACTAAAATACCCTCTAACAAACTTAGGGGCTAAGGAAAAATAGTACAACTAAATAAATATGAATTACTATTAATATTCTAATAAAACTAAACACTAGAAGAAACTCATGGGTGCGATAAGAAACTCTCTTTTTGTAAACTCCCATTACAAATGAGCCCAATTGCCTCAAATTTAATACATAGTCAAAGTCATCAAACTAAGAAATACGAAAACGTCATCAACTAAATACAGGAAGAATTTGCAATTTAGAAGCAAACTTTTTTTTTTTGCAGGATTTTATGAATAATCTAGAAGCAAACTTTTTTTTTGCAGGATTTTATGAATAATCTGATGATAGCTTCATCTGTAAGACCACTTCAAGTGTCCGAGTCATCATCGTCATCATTGTCTACACCTTGACTGTCATAATCATCAAAATCCTCATCATACAATGGATCAGAAATACCATCTTTAGCAAAACCATAGTGTCCATCATCCGCATCCTCGTCATCATCTGACAATTCATTACTAGATTTGCTATGCTCACTTTCTTCTGATTCACTATCAGAACCTTCATCGTCTTCCGAAATCTCCTCTGGATAGTCATTCATTGGATGGTCTTCAGCTAAAATTGACAAGTGTAAACGAGTTTTCAATCAATAGTGATCTTCAATAAGGGTGAGGAAGAGAAAAGACATAGGGAAATACCATTTGAGTCATCAGTTTCATAATCCAAATCGTCAGGCCCGTCACAATAATCTTCATCATCAACTTGAACACTAAGCGGCAATACACAGCAATGTCAAGTAGAAAGAATAAGAAACCAGATTAAACATATATAGACAAAATACTTACAGTGGATAAGAATGTGAAGAATTTTCTTCATTAATCGTCTCATCCGTTACAGTGTAGAGGTCATAAACATAGTCCTCTGTATATGTCACATAAGACAATGCACCATAACCATATGTAAATGAACAATTTAGATAATCTCAAAAATAAAAGTTTAGATATATGAGAATTGGTCAGCAACAACAATAATTTCAAATCATTTAATACAACTCTTGATAAAAAAAAAATATAACATTATAAAATGCCCAAAGATAACTCCAAAATTTATTTATCTTTATTGACCCAGAAAATGTTAATTATTTAAGTAAATGCAACTCGAGAAAAAAAAAAGTAGCAAAATCAGTAGTAATTTAATAGTAGTTTGCAATTAGACAATAACCTTGTTGGGAATGAGCACTTATATCAACTTCAATCTCTGCAGCAGCATTAGGAATAACCTCTCTTAGCAAAGGGAGGAAACTAGACAAAAGTTTTTGATCCTCCAAGGAGATATCTCTGCATTAATCACAGGTTAAATGTATTCTCTGAGACAATAAATAACAACCCTCCTGTTTATAAAGCAACAGGAGTAAGTATTTACACAGTAAATAAATAACAACCCTCCTGTTTATAAAGCAACGGGAGTAAGTATTTACACAGTAAATAAATAACAACGGCAGAATTCACAATATATATTTCCTTGCTTATTGAAGATATTTGTATTAATTCAAATCTTAAATAAATAACCATCTTTTCATCAATTGTTCAAGCCCACACACGCCCATATAGATCTAAAAAAATTAGATTAAAATAATTTCTTCTACTGTCCTTTGTATATAAAAAACATTCTTCAGTGTCAAGCCCACAAAGTTGTGAAGAAGAACAACACTAAAATGGCTAAAGCTTATGGAGTTCACATTGATCATCATCAACAACATCTTCGGTGACACTTCAGTAGTCAAGACAATGTTGCTGAGGTATGGTGCATTATCATTAAATGGTACTAGTATTGTTTCTTGTTTTGGTCATTGGGTAATGCTAACATGTGCCCTAACATGTTAAGAAGCCTAAAAATGGAAAATTTGTGTTGAAAAAATCAATAAAAAAATTAATTATCGAAACTTAAATAAAACAATGCACAATTTCCACACAAAAAATCTACATTTAACTCTTAACATATGCCTTAAGGGCACATGTTAGCATTACCCTTGTCATTTCATTGGAAACAAAAGTGGGCTTGGTGGTTTTGGAGCTTGTTCTAATGTTGCTCTTGGTTGGTTTGTGCCTAATAATCACTAAGGATCTGGACCTCTACTTTCTCTTGTTAGAAACCAACTTGAGACCTCTCTTCAACTCCAAATTTTCATTCTCAATCTTTTGATCTTTGCTGCCTCATGGTATTTCAATGTGTTTCACTTCATTTCATAGCATTATAATGTGTGTATAAATTTAAAGAATATAGATATAGATTTATGATGGATTATTACTTTCAAATATCTTTAATGTACAACAAACTTATGATGAAGCCACTCATTAATGCTTGTAATTTGAAAATGTTTTTAAGTTGCCCAACTTTGTTATTTATACTTTTTTATACTTTTTTATACTTTTTTGTTATTTATGTTCCCTTACCCTTTTTTATGATTTTAATGTTAATGTGAATTTATTTATAAAAACACTTATGAATGAAAAGAATGTAATAAGAGGATCATAAACAATTGAAGAGAACATAAATAACAAAGCTATAGTGATTTCGAGTCGTTATTTATTTACAAATAAATACTTACTCCTAGTGTTGTGCATTTACAAAGATAACGAACAAACTTAGATGGAAATACTTACTTGTGCTGCACCTCCTTAATTTGTTCTTGAGAGTCAACACGAACAATGTCATAGAACTGGCATATTTCTTGTAATGTATTTTCAACAGATGTCCCCTTATTTACTTTCCTGCTCTTCCATATTTGCTCAAAACGAGCCTCTTTAGCTGAAGACTGCGAGAAAGAATGAGACATAAAACTTTGCTGGAAAGAAACCTCTAGCAGAAACTACTTCAATGTTTAAATATCACTCTCTCATTCTCATTATCTATAATGAGTGGAGCGGAACAGAACAAAGTGAAATGGGGGCAGAAGAAAGAGTTCATTCCGTTTGAATATTTTATGATGGAATAAAAATGAAGATAAGTGATGGAATAGGATGGAATGTATTTCATCATGTTCCGCTTCATTTCCTCTTTTTATCAATCCAAACAATGCAACATAAACTTATTTCACTTCATTCCATCAATCTAAACATAAGAGTACCATACTGAGCTTATTTCACAAAAATTAATGAGAAGTTTGAAAGTTTGGCTTCTCCAATCTTATCATCTCAGACACTAGGGGCTTGTTTGATAGTGTTTTGTTTTTTAGTTTTTTGGAAACTTTTATAAATCAATTTCGAAAACTGCATTTAAGAAGATAATTGTGTATTTAGAAAAGGAAAATTTATGTACTTTAATTTGATATCAAGGTAAACTTAATTATTAACAACTAGGAAAATCAAATAAAACACAATTCGGCAGAATTACAAAAACAATAGAAAAATTCAAACAACTCCAAAACCAATCATTGCATCAGACCGGATTTCCTTAAGAGGACTGTAAGTTGATAGTTAGAGGAATTAAATTATATAAATAAAAAAAAGGATGCAAAGGTATATGTCTGAAACTATACAGAAGAAACTTCAACACAATTTCGAATAGTATATTATATTGTCATCCCTTAAGAAAGAGTATTAATAAGTGTCCAAACATATGTGCATACAAAAACAGAAGAAATATATAAGGGCATGTAACAGACCTCTTTTTCTTGTTTAGCTTTAAACAAGAGCTGATCTGGCTTCTGTAGACATCAAAAATAGGAAATGATGAGAGACAACATGATTAGAAATGTGAAACATGTTTGTGATAAAACAATTGGGAAAGAGGACAGGTTCATGACTTTGAGCATGCATTAGCAAATGTGTATGTACACACGGTGTCTGTGCACATGCAGAAGAATGAGAGAGGGAGAAGTCAAGAAAAAATGGCTTACACTGACTTTTTTGAAGATGTTCTTCCTTTCGACAACTTTTGACTTAGATTCAGAAGCACTTTTAGAACCAGGTTCCTTATAAAACAGTCAATTGACTAGGTGTTAATGTATGCATTTTGTAAAACATAGCGCAATGATGATTAAAATTTGCCACCCATTGCAACAATGACCGAAACAAAATGTTATAAATGGAGAGCAAATTGGCATGAGATGGGAAACAAACACATGACAACACATGTATATCATACGTAGAAAGAATTGTACATCATCTAGATGGGTTACTAACCACAAATGACTGCACAATATCTAAAGTGACCTCAGAGCTGCTTATTGTCTCCACATGCTGTACCAAAACCTTCTTGTTATGAATTTCCCCTAATAAAGAAGGGAGCAATTATAACGTGAGTCAGGCATAAATATTAAACACATTCAAAAACAAAGCATTCCAGCAGCTGGCGTGTCTCGGTGTCCAACACCCGTACGACACGGGTCGGAAAAGTCAAACAAGTGTCGGAAAAATCAAACAAGTGACACCCGTATGACACTCATAACACGTGTCAAACAATTCACACAAGTGTTTCAAAATAAATTCGTTTTTTTCTTTGGTCCAACGTTCATTATACATTTTCTTGGTCAAATCTGAGACACGTTTAAAAAAGTTAAACATGTATTGAAATAATATCATTAATGAAGAAGTTAAGACATTAATTTTTACTAAAATACTTTTAATTTTTTTAATAATAAATGGATAAATGAAATTCAAATTTTATCATAATGAAATTCAAATTTTATCATATATGTAGGATGTCTGTGTCCTATGTTTTTGACATTATAGGTGTCGGAGTGCCCGTGTCGGGTCGTGGTACTCCTAAACCCAGTAAACTTTTTTTATTTAACAGAGTTTTAACCAATGCTTCTTTAACTTTATGAGTCTACAATAGCATACCTAAATAATATGGAACAGGCAAAGAAGTATTGGTTGGAAGAAAAGAGTAGAAAGCATACCGTGTTGAGAAGAATCGGAGAGTGATAGATTTTGAAAATCCAAGAGAGGGCGCTTCAATGGCCTGTCGTTGATTTCCAACCCTAGATTGAGATGCAAAAAGCATAAAACGGTTGTTAAAGGAGAGAACGAGAAAAATAAAATAAAAGGAGAGTGATGAAAGGGATGGTTACAGAAAGCGTGGAGTGGAGAATGGAAGGGTTTTCGTTTCACCCTAACCACGACAGGCTTGGGTGGAGCCGAGGAGCTTTCCGCCATATTTGTTTTTGAGTAATTGGCGACTGATTTGGAATCAGGCATGCACGGCGGTGACGGTGATTACTAAACTCCGTGTCCAGTTGCCCTTACCGAAATTTGGTGGAAGTCTTTTTCTTTTTATACTAGGAATGTTCGCGGGTACGGGTTAACCTCCAACCCACTCAGTCAATCCAATTCAATTTTTATTTTGTATTCAACCTAATTATGCACCTGAGTTCAATCTGAATCAACCTAACGGATTTCAAATTTTAAATTTATGAACCCGCAAATCCAATTCATTTATATTTTATATTATTTTTATTTTATTTATAAATTATCTAATATAATTTTACCATTAATATATTTTTTTAAATATAATTATAATTTTTATTAATTATAAAAGCTTAAGTATGAATTAAATTTGAGATATCAACTTTATTTATTTAAAGAAAGAGATATTTTATCTTTTAAATCACATTTTATATTATTTATATTTTTTTTTAACGTAATTTGAATCTTAAAAGAGTTTTTAGATATTAACTGATAAATTTTATTTAAATTAAATACTAATATTTTATGATTTTTTTAATGTTTTTATAAAATAGATGTGCTAATTAAATTAAAATTTTATTTAAAATTTAAAATTATATTTAATTGATGACCAACGAATCCATCCAATCCAACTCAACCTATTAATGAGCGGATTGATTTGGTTCGGATTTAGTATTATAAGTAAGGATTAAACACTCAACTTAATCCAAAGACTATTGATTGGGTCGGATATTAGATTTAATCAAATTATACTCAATCCAACCCGCAAATACTCCTGTATAGTACTTAGGTTAAGTTGGACAAAATTGAGTGACCAAAATGAAAACAAACGGGTAATTAGGTTTTAATGGTTCGGATTGTCTATCGAGAGTCTCAATATAACTTTGGAATTTTTTATCAATTTAATAAATCAAATGTGTCACCTCACTTTTTTTATTTATAACTAACATTTAAACAAATATAATTTTTTATCCGTTTTTTAATTGTGTACATGCGTTAAAAAGTAAACATATGTTTTAATTTAATTTTGGTCATAGTATGATAAATGTGATACAATTAATCTAAAACTATAGTGAAACAACTAAAATGTAAAACATGTAATATTTTATAAACCAAAATTTATAAAATATAAATATTTTAATTTATTTTTTGACTTTTGTAACCAAAATATAATTCAACTATAATCTCAAAATCTTAGATTCTCTCTCTCTCTCATGTTAATCCATTGACGGAATTAAAGTAGAATGAAACATTTATAATCTTCTTATAAATTTGAGCAGTTGCAAACGTTAATCTTCAACTATAATCTTATTTGAAAACATCAAATGGATTGATCATAATTAAAGTAAAATGAAATCATAAATTACTAAAAACTTCAACATAAAAATATTAATTAAGAAAAATTTAAATTTATAAATTTTCACTTAATGTTTTCAAATGCAAATGCTCAAAATATATAAACTGATTGATTTGAAATGAAAAAAATACAAAGTTGTGTTAGCATTAAGGGTATATTTGGCTTAGGAGAAAAGTTGTGAAGAGAGAAATAGGTAAGAGAGAGTGTGTGAAGAGAAAAAAAGAAGAGAAATACGATGGATTTGAGATTTTAATTAGTATGAGAGAAAGAATGAAAAAATAGAGGAAAAAAGTGTTTCTCTTCCTTTTCTCTTGTTTGATTGAATAGAAATTAAAAAGAGAGAAATATAATTCATTTTAAAATAACAAAAAAAACCTCTTGATTAAAAAAATTAAACATACAATCATTTTAGTTGAAATAATAAAATAAATAAATTTAAATTATTAAGCTTAATAATTTTAATTAAATTTATTAGTAAGATGATTTACTTAAACAATTAATTAATTTTATGCAACAATACAACAATGTCCAAACGAAATTACAAAGAAGTCACAACAGACAGCATGGTATAACACTTTAACATAAACCAGCAAAACACATAACTTGTTGTGAATCTTATTGTGAGTTAATGGTCTTCAACAATAATAATCCGTAACAGATAATATAACAGAATAAGGCAAGAAAAAACTGAAGGTTTGATTACCCCGTTCGATCAAACTATCTACTCTGGAGGAGAAAGCAGCTCTCCAATTCACTATACTCAAAAAGTTGTTACAATTGATTACAGATGAGTTACAAGAAAATAACCTTCGATTCAGTTTCTCAAGAACAACCCTGAAGGCGCCCAAGAACAACCCTATTTTTTACCTAAGTGTTTTCCTACCTCTCCAACTCTCAATATACTCATAAAGTTGTTACAAGAGATTACATATGAGTTATATGAAAATAGCCTTCACCTTCAAGCTTCCAAGAACAACCCTGAAGGCGCCCAAGAACAACCCTGAAGGCGCCCAAGAACAACCCTATTTTCTATCCAAGTCTTTTCCTACCTCTCCAACTCTCAATATATGAATCACTCAAACCCAAGGTGTAATCCAAGGTTTTTTTTGTGCATAGCTGAAACCCTATTGTCGCACCTTGAAAATTCATTCGAACATACGACCCTCGCGCTAAAGGCGCGGAAATGCGGTTCGACATAGTCGTCGCCGAACTTTATTTATCCCATAAAGGGAAAGGAAAATATTGAGAAAACCTCTTAAAACAAAAGGACAGAAACAGGGTCGTCGCAACCAATGTTTCGGGTTCGGGAGTCGGTTACGCAATGGGAAGGTATTAGCACCCCTCACGTCCGTTGTGCTCAACGGAAACCTCTTAGGGTATTTTGCGATGGGCGTTAGCTAAATTTGCTTATTTTCTTCTCAACAATAAATGTGAATTAGTAAGTTAATGGGATAAAGATACTCGGGGAAATGGGTGGTTTATAGGATAGGGTGCTCGCCAAGGATTGGGGCCCTTGTGTTTACGTCTGCTCATTCGGACGAGAATGAGAAATTAGAGCATCGTAGTTCGACTACGGGAAAGGATGTGGGGGAAACGGAAAATAGAGGGGATTATGGACGGAATAACGGAGAAAGATAGAAGTGTACTCGCTAAGATCATCGCAATCTTGTGCCTACGTATCTTACATTCAAAAGTGAATGAAGAATCAGAGTGTTTGTAGTTCGTGGTAACGACCACGAAAAGATGAAGGGTTGAATTGAATTGGAATTTTGGTTTGGGAACGAAAGATTGAGTGATTAACAACCCAAGGGGCGTGCCTCAAGAGCTGTCACTCTAGAATCCAAGGAATGCGAGATTTCAAGAACTCAGTTCTTTCGAAAGTTGATTGAATAGGTTGAAGATAAATGTTGAACGTCTTGAATTCGAAAGATTAAACTAATAACAACTCCAGCGCGTGCCTCGAGAGTTACTCATTCGAAGATTCAAGGAATGCTAGACTCCAAGAATATCCTTCTTTCGTAAGTTTGATTACAAAATATGTTTGAATAGAAATTAGGTGCTTTAAGACGAAAGAGTGAACGAACGACAACCCAAAGTGTGCGCCTCAAAAGCCATTCATTAGAAGATTCAAGGAATGCTATATTCCACGAATATCCTTCTTTCGTTAATTATTTAAGAAATGTGTTCTGTAATAGATTGAATCGAAAACGTTACGACAAGAGGTGGCCTACGAGGAAAAAGGCACTCAGCTTACAACTTGGTTTAAAATACCACTTGACTTTGGATCAAGGGTTTGACCTTTATTTGCATGCAAAAGCGTGTTGAAATGGAAGTGGGTTTGAAAATGAAACCGACTTGACGATGAGTCAAGGGTCAAGTTATGAGAAACGATACTAGTCCCTGAGGGTGTCCCTAATATCGAAACCACGATGAAATGTGAAAGTGTGTGTAATAGGTTGATGGTGAATGCGGACAACACTCGACTTACGGAGGGTGTTTGAAAATGGCTTGATGACGAATCGAGAATCAGTTTGAAAACAGTTTAATCTACGCTAGTCCCTATGGATGCTCCTAGAAGATAAACCAGGATCAAAGCAATACGACAGCGTACATTGAAATGGGAGAGGGATACATGTGAGTTACACGGGATTGCACGAAATTAAATGGTCTCGTTGTAAGGTAGCCCAAGAGAAAGACGTGTGTGTGTGTGAAGTGTCCTAAGCTAAGCCTTGAGCAAAAGTCGGACAAAACTCCAACCTAAGGTTTCTGACAAAATCCAATTGTCCATTGCTCAGACAAATAACCAACAATCCACCAATTTAGGCTTTTATTATTTCGATAATTGTTTAGTGTTTTTGAATATGTATGAATAAGAGATGATCAATATGAATATGTACGATATGAATAATATGACAAGATATGAATAATATAACAAGATATATAACAATATAATCAAGATAATATCCACAATAATATAATCTAGATAAATATTAATAAGTATATGAACAAGATAATATAAGTCAAGATATAATTGACTGAAATTAAAACAAGGGTATATTTGACTGAAAGTAAAATAATTGTATATTGACGGAAAGTAAAGTTAGTGGTTATTTGATTTGTGAATTGAATCGGGACGAAGTATAATGCTAAATCGTCGTAGCTCGACTTATGACAAAAGTCAAACTATAGGATGTCGAGTAAATTGATATTCGTGCTAAAAACAAGATAGAGAAATGATATTGAGGATCACTCTCTAATTTAATCGGGTTGCACGGACCAAAAGAAAGGGATCTCGTCTTAATTATAAACTCGTATCGATTAATCTAAGGTGGCCTATCACGACCCCAAAGTATAGAAAATTACCCACATGGTCATTTTGCACAGATTTGACATAGTGAAGGTTGTCGACTTCGATAAATCGACGTTTACAAATTCAAAGACTTCATTGATCGATAAAAATAAAATAAAATTGAGATGAGAATGAAAATGAAAATAGAAAAAGAAAGTGGTCTCGGTTTCATCGCCACTTATCAATAATTTGACTAGTGGCGACTTTTTAGGTTTTGTCATCGATCGAAAAGAATTGAAAATGAGAAATTAAACTCGGAGTGAG